CTCAGCTCGGGACAGCACCCCAGCCCTGCGCCCAACGTCACAGCCGGCCCTTCCGTGGCCCTGCCTGTGGCCACCAGCCACTCGCTCCCATCCCCCACCCCATCCCCGTGCAGGGCCACCAGGCACCATGCCAGACTCAGCCCCTCATCCCCTGATGGCCCTGGGACAGGGAGAGGCTGAAAGGATGCCACAAGGGTCCCTATGAGGGTCTGGACCCCATCAGGGGCCACGTGGTACAGGGCCACACGGCGGACATGGCGGAGGAAGAGGAGGGCAAGAGGGGCCTCGGTGAGGAAGGTCTGGAGAAGGCTACGGAGGCGCTCAGTATCGGAGACCCCTGCAGCAATTCCTGAGGGTTGCCGGCGGAGGGGGAAGCGGAAGAGGGTGCCCTGGGCAGAGCCACGGTGCTGTCCGACAGCTTCCAGCCCAGCCCAGAAGGGCTCAAAAAGGCCAGGAAGGTCCTGGGCTGCAGAGACGTCCCAGCGGGCACCGGCACCTGGCAGCACCCGGCATTCAGGGTCCAGCACCCCCAAGGATGGGGGACTCAGCACACCTGGCAGGTCTGGGAACATGGGACCCATGAGGCCACAGGGATGGCATGAACACCACTGCCTCCCCAGATTGTTCCAACCCATCAGTGCCCCAAGTGCCCACCCAGTACCCTCAAGTTCAACCCCACAGTGCCTCCCATGATCCCAAGCTTAATCCCAATTCATCAGTCCTCCCTCAGCTTGCCCCTGCAGCCCTGCCCTCCATTGCCACCCAGCCTCCCCCCAGCCTCCTGGTGCTTCAGGTTTCCTCACTTCAGACACAGCCCTCCATTTTGCACCCCCTCAGTGCCTCCCAGTACTCCCCAGCACCTGTAGTTCAGTGCCTCCAGTACAACCCATGTCCCCAGTTCAATTCCAGTTGAGACCCTCAGTGCTGCTCACCAGTGAGATGGTAGACAGAGGTGAAGCCCAGGCCAAAGCACCCCACAGTGCTGGGGTCCTTCCGCTTGTGCGACACCCCTGGGTGCAGGAGCCCTGTCCAGTCCCGGGGGGACATCAGGGCATCATTGTAGGCCAGGAGGGCTGGGCCTGGGGGTCAGGACCATGGGTTAGGGGAGTCTTGGGACATGCAGGGGGGATTGCAACCCACATTCAGTGTCTCCACAATCTCAGTCCCCCCTCCAGTCCCACCAAATCCCCCTCAGTGCCCCCAGTACTGAGTCCTCCCAGTACCCTCAGTGCCCCCAACACATCCCAGAACACTTCATTGGTTCCAGTTCCCCCAGTCCACTCTGATCCACCTTCAATTCTTCACCAGTATCCCCCAATCCCTCCCAGTACCTGCCAGTGCCACCCCTGCGCTTCATCCAGACTCCCCTAGTGCCCGTAGCGCCTCTCACCCTGGGTGCCCTCCAGCCCTCCTCCGGTGACATCAAACTCCCGCTCGTCGGACACAAACACGACCTCGTTAGCGCCAGCGTCATCCGCATTCTGCACCAGCTCCTGGGTTCAGGGATCAGTGTCCGGACACCTGGGCCCCCCCCACCCCAGCCCCCAGAGAAAAGCACTGGCCTGCTTTCCCAGCTGGCCAGCAAGGAGCTGCCCCTTGCCGCTCCTGGACGCCTGGGTCTTAACAGCTTGGTGGCCCTGTCCCCACCTCCCTAACTCAGCAGTTTCGTTTCCCCGCCACACAAGCCTCTCAGGTCTTTTTTAACCCAAAAATTAGGGTTAAAATTTTAACCCAACCCAGGGGCTGGTCGTGGGTAAGGACCACCACCCACCTCAGCTGCCTGCGGTCTGTCTGCTCAGCTGGGCAAGAGAGCCCAGATGGCTGGGTTCCCCGGGGGTCTCACCTTGAGGATCTGCCCCCCGTCGGGGTACTTCTGCAGAATGCTGTGCAGGTAGTCAAGGAAGATGGGTGCCCGCTGACAGAAGGCCTCCCTGCAAAGCAGAGAGAAGGTGTGAGGGCGGGGGGAGGGCTAGCCTCCATGGGTAACCAGGACCCCCATGTCCTCCTCGAATTCCTCAGGATGTCCCCCTCCTTGGGGGTCAAGGACCCTATCTAGTCCTGGGACTCACCGAAACAACCACCTCCAAGGACCACCCCCCACCTCCCCAAGGCCCCATCTCTTCCTGGGATCCTCCAGCAACCCTCAAACTTCCCCATATCCCCCCAGCAAGCCCTGAGCCCCCCAAAATCCCCACCTTCCTCAGTAATCCTTCAGGTCTCCCCACTAACGCCTGAGCCCCCAGTCCCACCAATAGCCCCCAGAGACCCCTGGAACCCTCCAGCCATCCCCTATGTCCCCCCATAAAACCCCAATAACACCCCAGTGGCCCCCCCACTGCCCAGCCCCACTCACACATTTGGCTGCTTGAAGGCCATGATGGACACTGCAAGGGCGACGCCTGGGTCCCTGCCGATGA